CACATGCAATGCCCAAAAGAATTTTTGGACTTACATGTGATTAATTTGCTTAGGGCCCTAGTTGAGATTCTCCCGAGTTATAATTGGATGTTGTGGTAGTTAGCCCTTCTCCATCAGTTTTTGTGTATTTCCTTGATTTTTCTATTTGTATTTTCCAAGCTACAAGTATATGTAAAGGAGAAGACGATCGTGAGAATTGCATTTGCCTTACTTTTCCAAAGTAATTGAGGAATGGGCACCCTTGATTAATGTTCAACTATTCATATAGATGGATGAGATACATGGGTCGTTTTCCATGTATTTATATTTTCTCGAAGGATTAAGAGATTGTTTTCACATAAAAGTGATAATGAAGTTCGTCTTTACTAAAGAAAGACAATTTGAGTGCTTCACGTCTACTTGACATTTCAAATCATTGGAGGATAAAATTGAGCGGACGATAGTTCCATTTAACTACGAGACTTGCATGAATTAAATCAGTTAATCCTATCAAAAAACTTTATCATGAATGTATGGCTTCAAGTTGCAGCTTTCTCAGATTGAAGCTTCCTCATCAAGGACCCACCAAAGGATGGGATTCCCGACCGCTGGCATCTATTTGACTATTTCACTTCGTCACTGATTGATGTCTTTTGCATTACATTTTGCTTCCCTCCTCCTCTATCTCAGACTGCTCGTCGATGCAGGAGTTACATAGCTCACGTTTCCTTTACTTCTACATATGTAAGTCCCCCTTTCGTTTATCATTGAATATTAACTCGATCGATTGTGGAGTTAATTATAATATAATCAACAAATTATTAAAATTACCATATAAGATTATATTCTTGAATTATGGGGGCACCCATTAGCTGAACATTGCGCGCTGACTGCTGAGTGTTTAAATTTAGTGTGCAGCACATATGTCATGCACGCATGTATGTTGCAAAAATTAGTACACCCTAGCTATGGCGGCCACAGGATATAATACATGCATGAATGCATAAAAATTTCTTAAAGCCGAAGAAACGTGGAAATGGATGATGATTTGCCATTCACTGCCTGATGGGTACTCCTACCCACTTACAAAAGGGGGAGAAAAAAAGCAAACTACTTCATGTGTCGTGGATCTCTGCGACGACCCAAAAAAGGAGGCCTGGATCCACAGGAAAAAGTAAAGCACGAGTGGACAAAAGAGACACGTTAATCTATTAGGCGTCCTCGAATTGGAGCATCGATTAAAGTTAAGAGAAAGCTAGAAGTTTTTTTTTTTTTTGGGGATAAAATTGGGGTAAAAGAAAACTAGAACAACGCACTAATGGCCTGTACCAATATTATTTCTTAAGCAAGGGGAGGGGAGGATAAATGATGAAACCCAGCAATGTAGGAAAGGGCTATATCTTGACAAACAGATCAGCATACTATTAGCATCTTGAAATTCTTTTACTGTGCACCACCTGCTCTCGAGCCAATAGTGCTCCAATTTCAACAGTGGGTCCAGCATTTGGGTGATTTAGGGGCGAGCCATCGATGACTTTCCCTAAATCAGATTTTAGGATAATTTTCCTAAGGCCAAGATCCCAAATTAATTTAAAACCCCATATGCAAGCCCACAGTTCAGCACAGAACGAATCACCAACATTTTCTTGTAAAGAAAACCAACTCTAAATGTTGCTTCAGAGTCACTAATCAACCCACCACATCCGTGATATTCGTGATATAAAAAGATATTCGTAATAGCATTGGATCGACTTAGCATCTCATGCACGTGGATATCACAAGCCTCGCTGCTCTGCTCCGCACTTGAATTTATTGGTGCTGAATGCTGTCCTGACTATAAAAAGTAAAGCAATTAAGGAGAACAAACGCCAATATATGATAGATATATTTAACATATTTTAATTAGCTTGTCACCATTTTTCAATTATTGTTACTCTATTAGCCTTCTTCCTTTCTAATTAATTATTTCCACCCGTCGCAATCCCTTAACTAGGTTCATGATATTATTATTTAAAAGGATTTTTTATTCATATTTTTGATGTGCTCACTCAAATTTAATTATAATCATGTTTGTATAATACGAAAATTAAGCACAACCCCCTTATAATCGCTCCGTAGCATGATAATGTTTAGCCTATAGCCAGTATGCGCTTGTTTTTATTAATGGCTACATTTTATAATAATTGTGACCCTTATATATCATAGCCAATTAATCAATAACATATAGTATTAAGTAGAATTAATACGATTTTTTTGTGTTAATGGCTACATTTGGCCAAAAAAAAAGTAGCATTAATACGATAATCGTGTTCTGTGCCTGAAATGGTATTCTCCGTACCTGAAACTCCTTTTTTCCTTGCCACCACGTAATCGTAAGAATCATAAATCAAATTTAATCTTTGATAACTTCTAAAATTTCACATCATTTAAATATATTCTCCTTTGTTTTACAATATATTTTCTCTTAATTGTATATTTTTGATTGTTTAAATTAAGAAAATGTGTATCTTACTTTGGGCTTATACATTTGGTTTTTAATTCAATACTTTTAGACTAATTTATGTTATTTTGTTATGTTATTTAAATTTAAGATTTTATTAGAAATATTTCTGGACCTTTGGTGATGCTTTTGGCTAATTTTGAGTTTCATTAATTGTAAAAATAGTGTAAATTTATCAAATTCATCACTAAAGTCGTGACTTTTGCCAACAAAATGTTCTATTTTATTTATCTAAAATATTTGAATAGGATTATATATTGCTACATGCTTGACTTAGACTGAATTATACACACTTTGAGACACATTTAGAGCTTAGTATTGTTAGGGTTTGGGCATTGGAAGACTTGAACCAAAAAATTGAAGCTTTGAAAACATTCAAAGTTTATTTTCTTTAATTTTTTATTTCTTTTCTCTTTCCTCTCTCATAATCTAAATTGGTTTGAATATTTTATGTATTTAAATACTTTGTTCTATGATTGTTGGGAACCACTGTATGGATTAATACCAACTTCCTCCTCTCTTTTTGTGATTAATAATATATTGGTGTTTATTTTACTCTTTTTTAATGTTTCTAAGTGTTTGACCAATATTTAGATGTTAGATTCACTTGGGTGATACTTAAAAAAGCTAGCTTGGATGTAGAACTTAGATAAAATAGTACAAAAACTATAAGTTTATTGTTGAATGGATGATTTTGTTAGTAAGATAGATATATATTTGCTAACTTTAGATAGCCACATTAGAGTTGGAGCTTAAAATTGAATTTTGTTAATTGTAATAAAAGATTGGACTATTAATTTAACTAAACAATTATTATAATTTCAGAGGGCTTGTTTAAGTATTTTTAGAATTTTAGGTTAGCACTTATCTTCATTAAAAACATTTAAAAGAGAATATATTTTTAGTATTATGAGATGCAAGGGGGTAAATAATCTTAGGTCTCAATTTGTACTTAAAGTTTGTGAACTACTCTCTTTTCTTTCTTTTCTAGTTTTATTATAATTTACAAAATTAACTTTCTCCTATAATTATTTTTTGGCTCAACTTGATTGAATTTGTTAAGTCTTTTACTTGATTATTATTTTAAATAGATATTTGTAGGTATGATATATTTCACTCACACTTTTTACTTATTAGTTATTATAGTTCGTGCACTTGTGGAGAGCACACGAACTCAGTTTCTTAGCCAAAACAATTTATTTTTTAATCAATTATATGGTTACCCAACTAGTTTATAAATTTTAGATGTCAAACGGATCTGAATCTATGGAATAAACTAAGATGGGTGAAATAAAACTTTGAAAGAAGATATTAATATCGCGGTTATAAAATTTTTCCAAATAACATACAATATTATTTGTATTCATTTAAGTTAATTAGTGTACATTCTTTCATATTATAACATTACTGACAATAAATTTATGTTAATATTTTTAAAAATCTCTATTTCAATTTAAGTAAATATATAATATAATTTGCAAGAAATAAATTTATAAAAAATCAAATTTACAAAATATCTCCCTTTTAATTCAGATGTTATTCTTCCATTCATATTTACAAGTTACTTCATGCATGATTTATTGAAATAAATAAAATTTTAAAACTTATTAACTGTATTTAAAAATTTAAAAAGCTTTCAAACCTTATTTTTATTAAATATACGTTAACTTATTTTCTTTCATCAAGATTTACAAGAATAAAAAAATTGCAATAAAAATTTAATAATATAATTTATTAATAAAAAAAATTATTTTCTCTCCCTCCTATAAATAAGTTTTGGAGGAGTAGATTCAACATTTATTCTGTTATTCTGAGCTAACTCGGATTGCCATTAATTAATCTGGGATCGCATAGGTTGCAAGTGTGCCAAGCCCAAGCGTTTATGAATGGGGGACGTTTTTCCGCGTAAATTATTCGAGAACTTGGGGGACACATGATTTTAAATTTGTCCAGACAGTACTGGTCATAAAAATTTACGTCACTCCCTTAAAACACATTTTTAATTGTCACATACATACGTAATTAATAATTAATAATATTATAACAGATGTGGGAGAATGTCAATAGGTTCCGTACCATAGGCGATCGACCAAATTCTTTAATTACGTGAGCCGATTCCACCGCCGGCCATCGATTTGACAGCAACTTTCCTACATAAATCCGGCGTCTGAATACAAGCATTAAAAATATCTAATAATTAACAAAAAAAAAATATAACAAATTATATATACATCATTCAGTTACAATTCAAAAATAATGTAAATTTACTTTTCTTGGGTCGATGTGTAGGATTTATACCAGTTATAGTTAATAAAATTAGCTTAAAAATGTTGTATTCTTGAAAAGAATTGATTAACTAGCTAGTTTTCTTGCGGGCAAGGGGGAAAAGGGGTATCTACAGCTGTTTTTTGCTCACACTCTTTTTGCGTCTGTCTTCCCTGCATGGGAGCCACCGTGCTTTCTTTAATGACCCAATTTACAGACCAACGCCGCAGAAAAGAAGCTTATGGGTTAAGAAACTCCGTCCCACTAAAAACCCTAAAAATATAGTAAAACAAAAAGTCAGATGAATGAGAGAATAAGAGCAAAGCAAAAACAAGAGCCTCTTCTTGCTTTCTTCCCTCTTCCTTCCTGACCTCCTTCTCTCTCTTTAATGATCCTTTTTCGCCCCTTCCTTTCTCGTCTCCTGTATTCCCTCAGCGTGATTCTCCACCATCTCCAAAGACCCGTCCAACTTTATAAAAGAAAATAACATTAAAAGATAACGGACACCATGGTTTTCTCTTCTTCCAGTCTATTTAGATCCTCCCAATTGGCAGCAGGTAAGGTTTTCCTCCAATTTCAGCCACAGCTTAAACAAAAGCAAGTTACAAAAGATTTTTATTCCTATTCCCTGTAACATCTTCTTGAATATACCAGATTTCTATGTTTCCATTTATATATATATAGTTCATACTTAGCTTCCTACCTCAACTATATATTTTGCCGGGATTATTGATCTGTGCTTTGCAGCAACAAGATTATCATCAAACAATGAGACAAGCGAGCTTCCACCCCTGCCTCCACAAGCCCCTCATATGGGCTCAATCAGGCCTGGATCGATGGCTGATAGAGCCCGGCTAGCCAAGATACCGCCACCGGAGGCAGCTCTGAAGTGTCCTCGCTGCGAAATCTACCAACACAAAATTCTGCTACTTCAACAACTACAGCCTGTCTCAGCCTAGGCACTTCTGCAAGACCTGTCGGCGTTACTGGACAAGAGGCGGCGCTCTCAGGAACGTTCCGGTGGGCGGAGGATGCCGCAGAAACAAGAAGACCAAGGGAAGCCGCTCCAAGTCTCCTGCAGTCTCCGACAAACAGCCACTGTGTCCGATCCCTCGGGCGGGGCCGCAGCCTCCGAGCTGATCGGTCAATTGCCGCCCCACGCATCTAATTTACCTTTCATGGCTTCGTTACAGAATCTGAGCCGCTGTGGCGTGGGAAGCATGGGCCTCAACTTGCAAGGGCAGAGCGATCACCACTTTTTCCCATAGGACTTAATGGAAGTATATTTCAAGCGTAGGAGTGGACCAGTGGCGGCTACAGCAGTTTCCTTTTTTGAATGGTTTTGATCAGTCAAGTTCAGCTGAAAACCATTCCAAAGCCAGTTGGGGGGTTCTAGGGTTACACAGCTGCCTCCAGTTAAATGGGAAGACAGTGGAGCCTTAAACTTGTCTAGGTCACAAGCTCCGAGCACGTCGGAAAATAAAACCAATACTATGCATGGACTCCTACCACAGATAATATATCTGGTCTTGAGCCTCTTCCACGACCCATGTTTCTTGTAACTTCCACATCAATTATTATTGCACCACCATGTTAATGCATTGAGAAATTCAAGTTCCCAGATGATGTACATGTCCACCAAACTTCCTAGGTCTGTTTCCCAGATATGGTCAGAATTCGACACACACCACACACACACACACACACACGTCTTGTTGCCTTTGTTTATGTTCCGGATCGTGTCTCGGGTACTATACGGGCTTGATTTGTTAAACTGTGTGTGCTGTACGATGTAATGTTTTCTGTTTGCTATCTGGCGTTATGACCTCGCCTGAATACAGAATCTTCCGATCGAGGTTACCTTGGTATCCATTTCTAGCTAGACATGCCCCACACGTGCTGCTTCGCCTGCATTTGTCGCCCACAGGTGACACGTCCTTCGGTACAGAAACGAAAACTGATACTGATAATAAAGAATGTGCCCCTCCTCGTTAGCTTTATGCCAGGCAGTGTATCTCGGGTAGTTGTTGGGACTTTAAGATTTAGTAAGTTATGATATTTATTATTTATTTATCCAGTTAATCTTTACATCTTCTATATACAAGTTCATACTCCTATGCAAAGCCCTATGCTTGGTTTGAATATGATCTGTATAATAAACATCTAACACTAGTTGGATATT